TTGCAGGTGGTTAGTCGAGTGGCAGCTCAGCAAGGATTTGACTTGGATCTTGGATACAGGCTACTGGCAGTATGTGCAGCCAACAGGGACAAATTCACTCCAAAATCAGCTGGTAGGAAAAACTTTTTTGGTGTATTACTAATTCTTGGATGTCATACTCTGAGCAAATACTACCTACGACTCTCTTGCATTCATTAAAACATAAAACCAAAACTGAACACGTATTTGGTGGTAATAGTGCTGCTGCTTTTAGCATTTCAATGGCATGCTGTTCTCAGGATATATGACTTTGGAAATTTGTATTTTCCCCAACTAGTGCTGTTCGTTGCCCTGTTTGATCTTATAGACGATATGTTACTTCCAGAAGCATGGATATTCAGTAATTTCATGGTGAGAATGAACACACTCAGGCCCTCCATCTTGGTAAACCATTGATTTTCTGTCATGTGCCAACCTCTAAATCTTTCCTGTTCATTCTACACTGCCTGATATATCTATTGCCAAACTTTTATTCCTTGACTGCATGTGTCTGTGCAAACAAGTACCATGGTCTCTTGTAGATCTAGTCATTAGCTTTAGAATTTTGAGCCAAGAGTAGGCAGTGGTGCTATTGCTATAGTAATAAGTAGCCTTTTTCCCAGTATTTTATGGCAATAATCTGCTGTAGGGCTCTGATCAAGTAGCAATATTTGATCATGATGTATTGCCACTGCTTCTCTGTATAGTAAAAGTAGAAAACACACTTCAGGGTCTTTCTGCTTCTCACATGTTTGATTTAACTGGAGCATTTAATTCTGGTTCTCCTTTTCTTAGCTGATGAATGTCAACATAATGTGCACTGGCTTGGAAAACAGGCAGATAACTGTTCCATTCCAGACTGAGCATGGATAACTTTTCTGCTTCGTACTGAACTGGTATGCAGTCCCCATTCTGGAATATCAGAAAAGGTTACCTTCTTCCAAAACAGTAATTTGTAGTCAGCTGATTGGGTGTTAACATTTCTTCTCAAGTTCCTTTTCAGTTTTTTTCAGCCCCAAACTTCTTTACTCATGGCTACCTTTTGTCCTAAGTGCTTTAAGCTGTTCCTCATGCAAAAGTGGCTTTCACATCAAGGCATATTCACTGAACTTACTGATTTTTATTTTTTTCTTTTTTTTTGTATGGGAAGGAATAATTAATTATATTAAATATCAAATAAACTGTCTGATTTTCATCCTGGAAAACTGTGTGGAAGATAAAACATTCAGTTGTCCAAGCACAATCTCCCTTTTTTCTGCATTTCTAGTAAGTTACTCCAATAGTTAGCCAGCACATCTCTTCTTGATTTTTTTTTTTAAAGCCAAATGAGGATTTCCAGCTGTGAGTGCATTAAGTGAGACATTAAAACTTTATTTCCTTTGAAAATACGCTGATTAAAGTAGCCATACCCTCTGTCTTATCAACTTTTACTGAGGAGTGTCTCTATCAGTGTGTAGGTGATGGTGAGGTTGTGAGTCTTTGGATCTTTTTGTGTTGTAGTTCTTTCCTTTTAGGGCTTGTATGAGGAGATAGCCTTGAAAACTGTTGGTCAGTCATCACGTCCTAGAAGAGCCCAGTGTCAGTGTGTGACTTCTGTCAGTAATTACTTTTTGGGAATATATGCCTTTTTTTCTTTTTTTTTTTTTTTTTTCCCTCCAACTCTTTACCCTAGCAATCTGTACAAATTTCAGTCTTTCCATTGTTAATTGATACAATACTGGGAAAGCTGGTAGTGAAATCATGTGCTCTTCTCTCAGTGTGTTCTAAAAACCTTCTCAGTCCCGTTTCCCAGTTTCATATACAACTTATTTATTTCCAATGATCTTAAACATTTGGCTTCACAACTAGTTTAGTTTTACCATGTATGCAGTTGTTTCACCAGTTATTCCAGCGATTTCATCATACTCATCCACACTGTGTTTTTGAGTGCTCTTATTGTCTGTATTAAATACTCATATTTTGGGGCGTACCATAACATATTTTGTGGAATGTCACCTATAGCCCCTACTTTAAGGAAGTCACATTCACATACGATCTGCAAGAGCTACATCATTGAATGCGCAACGTGAAAGACTGACAGGCTGGGATTACAAACGTGACTTTTTTTGAAAGGGTGAATTTCCATGTCTGAGTGCATTAACATATTCCAGTTTCTAAAGCAACAGTGGCTCTGCTCCCTCACTCAGTTTTTGTAAAAATGTTGATTGTCGTTTGTTTTTTTTGTAAACAGTGTGCATCATTGAAAGATGCCTTTCATGACTTGCTTAGGTTGGTGTCAAGGATGCTTGCATGTTGTTTTGAGTAACTCATCCTTTTTTCCTGTTACATCTATTGAAAGACACCTTTAACACTTCTTGCAGTCACTTGCCTACAGAAGTCCCCTGATGTAGATATCAAATGGCATTATTTTTAATGAGTAAGCATTTGTTTTTCCCTTCTTCCACACTTAAGGGAAATTTACAACAGTTTGAATTCTTTCCTCCAGGTATGAATGTAATGCTGCCGAAGGGATCACTCTGGAAACGTTTTTAATCCATATTGTGTAGTGTCTGACATTCTGAAATGCAAGGAGAAAGAAACCTTTTCTAATTAAAATGCATTTGAGTAGCTAAACACTGGGGAAAATACTTGCACCACGTCCTTTCAAGGGCCATGCACTATTAATGCCTCTTTACAGCTTAGGCCAAGGCTTGTTGACTGATGTCCCGCGGGCTGGGACGCCTGGAGTGGCCTGGCAGTGGTGGCTGGCATCTTTGCAGCTCTGCCATGTGGAGCAGGTGGACCACCCCAGCCTGATGTCCCCCAGGTCTGCTGGTTTGCAGAGGCAGCTGAACCAGTGTGATTGGTAGTCCGGCTCCTCTTCTCCGGCAATTCCCAGCCTGAGCTTGCTCAGGGACCTGTGCTGGCAGATGAGGTTTTGCTGGTATGGCTTGTTTTCTTTTTGACTGGCTCCCTGAGCTGGCTCTCTGCAGGACCCCAGGAGACTGAGAGTCCCCGTGGCAGTGCCTGAGGGTCTCGGTTATCCCCGATGGAAGAGGGCTGGAGGCTGAGGCCAGAGGGCAGAGCAGCCAGCTGCCAAGGTGGCTCAGCTCTGTGGGAAGCTCACAGCCCTGGCTCACGCAATTGGCCCCGCGCCGTTTCATCCCAGTTGGTTTAAACCATTTTGGTGGTAGATCCCTGCTAAGCTGAAGAGGTTGAGGAGTGACAACAGGAGCTGCAGATGGCAGATCAGAGTACAGGCAGGCGGGGAGGGAAGCGGGGAGAGATGAGAGGCTGGAGCCAGGTGGGACTGTAACCTTCTCAGCTGTCGGCTCCTTATCGTTTCCCATCCAGGGCCCTTTGGTGTTGCCGAGGCAGTGTTTGGTGGTGTCCTTCTTTTACTTGGCCATTGACATAGTTAACAATTAGCTAATACAAATTGTTTTGGAGAATGCCTTGAGGGGAGATCCGTGTGGCATGAAAAGGATTAAAAAGTTGTCATGCGTGCTTTTAAATAGTAATGATGATTTAATGACTGTGCCTTTTGTCTCTGCTTTCTGGTGTTAGTACCTGAAATAATAGCTGTGCCTCCTTTTATTCTTCTAGCCCATGTTTCTGCATCTGGGCTGCTGCCTCGGCAGGAGGTCAAATACAGCGTTTCCCGCCCTGAAGACAAATGACAAAGCCTTTAAAAATACATGTCTCTCTTTCGGTGACAGCTGCTCCCCAAACCTTCCACGGCAAATTCCTTTGCCTTCTTGTGACACCTATAGGGAATGGCCCAGCAGGTTGACTGCCTGCTCATCTGCTTTCAGACTGCAGCAACCTCAGTCGGGCTTAGTATGTGAGCGCATGGGTGTTTGCATATTCTTTTTTTTCTTCCTTAAGCCTGAAGAAGACCTTCTTTTTGAACAGCGCTTGCTTGGACCTTTTCTGAGCATATCTACTGCTTTTGTCCTTCCTGTAGAAGATTTTAAGTTATTTGGTAGCTTTATTTTAAGGTCTGCTGTTCAAGTAATACAGAATTCACTGATCAGAGTGTTGATTTTAAAAAAAAAAAAAAAAGGGGGGGAAGAAAAGAAGAGAGAGGGAATAATTTTCTGTTCTGGAATATTTTTTTTAAAAATGCTTTATCAAGCTCCTGAACTTGATTGCTCATGTAGCTACTTTTACTTTTGTCAGGAGGCCAAGCTGAGGCCAGACAAGGGGACGACAGGATGAGATCATACAGGGAGCTTTGTCGGAAAAAGACAGTGTTCAGTATCTCTGTAAAGAGAGAGAGGGAGGAAGGAGCCTGAGGGCAGAACTGTGCAGAAAAGGTACTTTAGCAATCACGGAGAAGCTACAGCAAACAAATGCTCTGATAGCTTCGATGGGCAGCTAAGTGTTAGATGTTAGAGATAGCAACCCCTTTTTGATACTGCTTTGTTTTCAGTCCCTTAGGCTCTGCCTGGTGTCCTTTTGATTTTACTTTTCAAGAGCCGTATTACTTAATAATCTAAATTTGTATAAAACATAAACTAAAACTATGGTATTTGAGGATTTTACATTCTATTTTATTTCTTTAGCGTTAATCATTGTAATAGAACTAAAAATAATAGGACTGTTCTTAGTAGATACGATACCAAAGCTGTGAATAAATTGGACCATGGGTTAACAAAGGTATTTGCAGTGAGAGTACTGCCAAATGATGGTGTTAAAACATCACTGGCAAGATACTGAGACATAAGGTATATCCTGATCAGGGTATATCATCTCACATGTTTCACCACCTTGCTTCAAAGCGATAGTGTGGAATGGCCAAAGTGTATTTTGGTGTATTAGCAAATCAAACTTACAGAAATGAGAGAAAAGGAGAGAAGAAATGAGGCTACAATATGATTGAGGAAAAGGTAGAAAGTAAAGATAACCTCTAGATTATGGAGGACTGTAAGGCTAGATGAACACTTTGCCTAAGTTTCCAATAATAATGCTCACATTATCTGTGGAGACAAGGCAAAGCGAGGCGGCTAAAAGGATTACAAGTATAAAATGGAAATTACTACAGCCAAGGCTGATGGCATTCCTCCAGCTTGGAGGCACCGAATGACCGGCATGCCTGTGTTTGGAAAGAAC